GCGTACTGAGGACTGAACCCAGGGCTTTTGCAATGAGCTGCACTCCCCGTCTTTTTTATTTGTTATTTTGTAGCAGGGTCTTGCTAAATCATTACATTATCCAGGCTGGATTCAAACTTGTCTCAGACCCCAGGGCGCTGGGTTCACACGTGTGCGCTGCCTCCAAGACCTGTATGCGGGCATTTAAAGCACACATTCACAGAACGACTCCCCTTACACTGTACGACTGGTAAGCTGACATACTTAAAGATGGCACCCAATACACGCGGCTCTCCCATATCCTGTCTCCTGGTCCCACTCAGCTCGGTTGCCTGCCGAGTCACTTCCGTGGGATTTCCAAGGCTCCTTTCACGCCTCACATCACCTCCCTCTGAGCTTCTCAGGACGGTGGGCTCCAGACCCTTAGGACTTCTGCTCCCTGGGGTTATGGACTAGTCCTGGCCCTGCGTGCTCTCCCTGCGTGCTCTTTCCACAGATGAACAAAGGAGCCTTTTGCAGATTGTAATTCTGAAGCCCAGCTCTAGGAATAAATCTCGGAACGACTCTGAAGATGTGTGTTAGTTAATTTTGGGTGTTCGACACATTTAAGAAAACAGATTTGTGACATTTATTTTAAATGAACAATACACTGAATCAAGTCTAGAAAGGTTTAATAAAACCCAGTTGATACATTTATAAGCTCGGTTTCTTTGATTTAAAGTGCTGGGTTCTTTAAAAGATTCTTATTAGATTTTTTACTTTGTCCTGCTAGGCATTTAGTATTTGAGAAAATTGGGTGTATTAAATTTAGTAAATGTAGTTTAAAATGCACAGTCTTTTAAATTTATGTTAAACCTAAAGCTCAATGCATAAAAACTTAAGATAATCTTGATTTTAAGTGTAAATACTTGAGTAGTTAATCACTGAAATAAAAGTAGCTGCAAATAACATTTCCCAGGCATATTTAGCACCCATTCCCAAGCAAAAACAATTGAAGCGAATTAGGACAGGAAAAGAAAGGGCTAATGTCTTGCTTTGCAGTACGCGTTCTAATACAACGCCCGTGATGTCTTCAGCAGGGCAGAGCCCAAGGCTTTTAGAATTGGCAAGAATTTTAGAAATCATCTGATGCAATCCATGCATTTTGTCAGTGAGGCTCCCCGTTAGAGACAACCCAGGGGGCGCAAGGAAATTTCAAAAGGTCACACAGCGTGGAGGAGCTTTTCTGAAGTCAGAACTGGTTCAGGTTTCGGAGTGAGTCAGTACTCCCCGTGGGCTGTCTCACCTTCCACTGCCTTTCAGATGGACAAGGGAGGAGTCAAGCCAGAGGTTTTTAGAAACTCAGGTGTGGAAAGGGCAGAAGGGGCCAGAGTCGGGAGGAGGCGAAGGTGAAGCCAGCAGGATGCTGGGCAGGAAGCTATGCTTTGTGGGGAGCGGAGCTGTGCCTGGCACAGGCCTCCTCCCTCCCTGACTCCTGATTTGGGTCCCTGGCTTTGTTTCCCAGAGCCACCATGGCAAGTCCACTCCCTGTCCCTTGATGGCCTTTCTTCTGCTTGAAAGCAGCACAGTGCACAATGGGACAATTTGTAAAACAGGATGTGAAGAAATCCATCCTTGCCCTGCATCCAGTGATCCATCGATGGGCGTGACCCATTGATAAACATCCCAGGCCTTCAAGAGCTTAAAACTTTGCTCACTAAACGATACACATGACCCGCGAACTGTCAGGTACACAGACAACGTCTGTGCAGATCGGCAGAATTGGTAAGAGGGACAGGGAGTGGCGTGGCGGTGTAGAAGTCAGGCAGAGGGAGGCCTGGCTCGGTCTCCTCGTCGGGACCCGGGAGCGGAGGCCTGGAGGAGGCCAGGGAGAAGGCCGTGCAACGCGAGGTCCCGGCAGAGGGCTGAGGTCTGCAGCTGTCCACTGTCGCCAACTTCGGTGACCAGGCTAACCCTCCGTCCCTCTCCACGCAGTCACACGGCCTCAGACATGGCAGTTGGCACGGCAATGTCTGGAAAAAGATGAGCTGCTGTCACTTCCTGTCTTTGCAAGTTTTAGGGGCCAGGGACCTTCTCTGCTGTCACCCAGTGCCTGGGGTCACAGCTCCCGCTTGCAGCAGACCCACGTCTGTCTTTGAGTCCGTCCTCAGGGAAATGGCTGTGTCGGCTTAGGTCACATCTGGGTCCATTTTCTGTTGCTTTAGCAAAGTCCGAGGCAGCGTAATTTGTTAGGAGCAGAAGCTTATTTGGCTTACAGTTCTGGAGCGGAAGTCCAAGAGCATCTGCCCAGCTTCTGGAGCAGGGGACCTTCAGGGACAGCAGAATGTAGTGTCACTGCCACCACGGGTGCCGTCTTCGTGGCCTCATGTCACCCGAGTTGCACCCCGAAGCCCCCCGGTGCCGCTTGATAGGAATCTGGGGATGAAGTTTCCCATACGTGAACTTCGGGGGACACTCCCAAGCCACAGTGCGGATCATCTGGAGCGGAACAGACGTTGGAAATTTTACCCAGTAGTCAACTTCTAAGGCGTGCTCGCTGCCTTGAGCCTCATCCTCTGGACTCTTCGGAGCGCGCTGCTTTCCTGTGGATAGGCCGTGTGCTGGAAGCCGAGAACCACACAGAGGAGGACACACTCTCTTCCAGTTCCTGTTGGTGTCAGTCCAGAGGCAGCGCGCGGACCCCGTTCGTGGCGGAGTTGGGCCTGATTCCCTCCCCTCCCTCCATCTCTCGGTCCCCTGCCCTTTCCAAAAAAGGCCTGGCTCCGTGTTTCCTACTAGCTACCTTTCATTCTGCGATTCTCATATGAGAGAAATCACGTGACCCAAGCAAAGCCCCGCCCATGACGGGCTCCACGTGCAGCCATTTTCCTACACACGACTCAGATTTAGGGGATGCTCTTTATGAAAGGCTCCCCAATACATAACATCAAATCGCATTTTATCGAAATCAGAGCATGCTCTACTCCCACGATAACATCATCTCCGCACTCACCAGTCGTAAAGATCACCGAATGAGAATCTTTGCCCCTTTCACCCTTGCCCATCCCGAGGTTCCTGGCTGTTTCCAAGCCTTCCAGCATTTCTATCGTGATGAATGGCA